TTTATATGTTTGCTGGCCATTATTCTGTCTTCTTTTGAAAAGTTTCTCTTCATTTCCCTTGCCCATTTGTTGATAGGGTTGTTTGATTTTTCATATTGTCATTTGAGCCCAGGAGTTCTTTCCCAGCCTGGGCAACATAGTGAAAATCCTTCTATTAAAAGAAAAGAAAAAATAAACAACAATAAAAAAATCAGACTATGGAGGATAAAAGGACACATATGAAATGATTTATGTATTTTTTTATTTTATATATAACAATATTTATATAAATAACATAGCACATTTTATACATTATGTATATATATATACATATAAATAAATGTCTATAAAATTTAAAAAATACCGAATATGAGATGGAGGATCAGAATGCAATTGAAATGAGGTTTCATGTTAAGGGAGAATTGTCCTGTTTATTTTTTCAACATTTAAATAATTTGAGGTTTTTCTATTACTGATGTAAGGAATCAAGTAGATGGAGAGTTGCACTTCCCTAGGAGAAAGGTGAAATAAACAATGTAGTAATATTCCAGTGTTAGCTGAATTGATAAAGAGATTATTTTAGATAACAGTAAGGATATTGCTTTTGTTTGAAGCAGGAGTAGTGTGCAGAGGCAGTTACATATGTCGGCTTGAAAACTGAAATACTTCCCTTCTGAAAGTTTAAGCAGCTATAGAGCTCAGGACAGACACACACACACACAGAGACACACATACAGGCAGAGAGAGAGAGTGAAATTCAATGTCTGTTTCCAGCTCAACATGCTTGTCTTACAATAAACAATAATTCAGAAACACTGAACAGCCTGCTACCCAAGATCATTTATTCTTCAGTTTCTTGCCTTATTAGAGCTTGAGTGGACCGTATTTTTTAACCATAGCTACTTGCTTTTACCATTGCATAATTCTCATGCTAGGGTCTTGAACCCAGATTTTATTTAGGATGAACATAACATAAAATACACTAATCATTTTAACCCCAGGCTTTAACTATTTGTCTGAGTGTACAAATTGCAATTTTTAGAGACTCCTAAATAAAGGGATTGTCTGATCCCACAATAATATCAGAAGAAAAGGAGAACTTTCACTCTCAGGCATAAATATAAATAATGCCCTTGTCCTCTTGCTAAGTCCCTTGTTCTTAGCCCTTAACACTCATTGGGGGCCTTTTGCCAAATGAGAGGAGTCTCCTAAATTTGACATTGCCTTTTTTCTTCCACTTTAGGTTCCATGCTGGGAGACTGTTTTGAGCAGGGCTTCTAACAGTTTTCCATGTCAGAGTTCAATTCCACAACATTTCAGCCTTTTCTCTTCATCCTCACTGGCCTGCGAGAGCTGGTGGGAGCCCGCCTATGGCTGGGACCTCTGATGATCCTGATGTACATCTCTACAATGGCAGGGAACTGTACAGTAATATCCTTGGTGAAGAATGAACACAGTCTACAGGAACCCCAGTACTATTTCTTGTCCATGCTGGCTGGAGCTGATATTGTCCTGTCTGTGTCCATACCTTCCTCTGTGCTCAAGGTCTTTATCCTTGGCCTTCATGAAATTGCATTTGATGGTTGCCTCACTCAACTCTTCTTCATCCGTACATTCTCTTCCATGGGCTCAGGAATCCTGGTGACCATGGTCTTTGACCACTTTGTGGCCGTCAGTCACCCTCTGCAATATACCAGCATACTTACCAACTCACGAGTCACCAAAATAGGGCTGGCAGCTTTGCTGAGGGATGTAGCACTCATGACTCCATTGCCTGTCCTGCTCAAAAGGCTACTTTTCTGCAGGGGCCAGACACTCTCCTATTCCTACTGTCTCCACTCAAATGTCATGAAGTTAGCCTGTGGCCAAGTCAAAATCAACATTTTATATGGGCTGGTTTTGGTTATCTTTTCTTTTGGGGCTGACTTTCTGCTAATTGTCATTTCCTATGCTCTGATATTACAAGCAGTTCTGGGCATTGCTTCCAGAGAAGGTCAGATGAAGACACTCAACACCTGTTTGTCTCACATCTTTATTGTCCTGATTTACTATGGACCTCTCATAGCAATAACTGCAATGCATCGAGTCAGCCACAGAAGTTCTCCATTAGCACATGCAGTTCTGGGAAATATCTACCTCTTTATGCCGTCAATGCTCAACCCAATTGTATACAGCCTGAAGACCAAGCAGATCCATGCTGCCCTGAAGAAATCCTTCAAGATCCAGAGACACTGAAGAATTAGAGAAGTTAATGGTTTAGGTGGAGGAACAAATAAAACTCTCAACTGTATAGTTATTTACATATAGCTAGCCTTTGCTATAATTTTAGATCTAGGATATGGGTATAGGATGAAATTTTGAAAATTATGTGTTTTTTTTTTCTTTTTTAAAGACATATATATCCTGTAGGATCTGATGCTATTTCCAGGTAGATGTGTCAGAATTGAATTGAATTAAAAGATATGCAGCTCATGTCTGCTGGATAATTGTTTGATGTGTGGAGAAAAACCTTCACACATCTGCTGTCAGAAGAGTTCTATTCTGTATGAAGTGACTGTTGAGAACAGGAAGAGGCACTTTGGTTGTTTTTTTCCTGTATGTGTAGAGTGTGTGTGTGTGTGTGAGAGAGAGAAAGACAGAGAAAGAGAGGGTGAGAGAGATTTATGAGATATAAAGAAAGTATAGCAAAATAAAATACTCTCCATTTTAAGAGGATTCAAAAATTAAAAATCTAATAATAGCTGATTGTCAAATAATTTCAAAAAATGTACGTGAAATGATTTTCTGAGCCATCATCAGGGTGACCCTGACTATTGTGAGAGTAGTACCAAGTTGGTAGGCATCAGCCTATGTCAAGCAGAACACGTTAATGCCCTGAAAAAATATAAAATTGCCTAAAGACAATTAATTTTAATTAAATAATATAATAAATATACAAATTAATGCTAATTAATTAAATATAACTCTGATATCCACTTTCTACCAGGCTCCTTTGTCATCCTTCTCCCAAAAAAGAGTATCTTCTTTTATGACACAATATTACTTGCACTTCCTCCAAGCAAAATGCTCTGTTTTATTCCCATGTCTGGTACATGCTGCTAACTTTGCCTGATATACTCAATCCGCTTTCCCTTGTTTGTTGTGATTTGTACTCGTTTTCTCATCTCTCAGCCCCTACAGGAAACCTTTGTTGACTCTTAAAGCCTGCTTTAGTTGCCTGTTTAATACATTTCATGGGATTCTGGCATTACCTCTGTCATGATATACAGTGTGTATCAACCATTCACTTCTCTGCCTCTCCCAATAGACTCTAGTCAAATCAAAAGTAATTTGCTGGATTATTTTTATATTCCTAGATTCCAGCAAATATGAAACATATCATTAGCCTCTAAAAAATTATGAAAATAAGAAAGTTAGTCATTCATCTCTGGAATAAAGCCCACCTAGTCAGGATACAAAATCAATACACACAAATCCGAGGCATTCATATATGCCAACAACAGTCAAGCTGAAGATCAAATCAAAAATGCAATTCCGAAAGGGGGGGAGAAAAAATGGCAGAGTTAGGGTAGCCTCCCGAATCCCTGCTTCCAGAGAGGGAGAGGTAGATCTCGGTCTGCTACACATGATCAGATCACTCTCCTGCAAAAACAGCGAGGTGAATCGGCGGAGATTCAGCGGGGGACGCGCAAATCAGGAAAAAGAATAAAGCGAACGGGAGATAGGAATACAAAACCTGGAAAGCGCCGACAGACAATAGAGAGTGGAGCGCGAGATGGCGGCACCAGCATGGCCAGTAAGTGCACTGGGACAAGTCCCTGATGAGACAGTGTAGCTTCCCCACTGACTTACAAGCCCACCGAGAGGCAGGTGCTTGTGTGAAGTGGATGTAGAACTGGGTCTGGAAACATGGGACTCAGCATAGAGGAGACACGAGCGGGAAGCATCTTGAACTTCCCAGAGTTCCGTGTCAGGACTGCACTGGACAGGGGAAGAGCTGGTCCGGGCTACCGCCGGAGGCAGTTAGGACTTAGGAAGCTGGTCTCTGGCACCCAGCGGGTCCTGAACGAAGAGGTGATTACTGAGTAGAGGACTCTAACCTGGAAACTGCGGCTGGCGACTGGGACTGCTCAGGGTGGGCCAGTAGAAGTGAGAGCTATTGCAGGACTGTCATGAGATTGGGGGAGGGAGACACAAAGGAGACGGCGAGCACCCTGGTGACTCGATTGACTCCCTGATCCGGTACCTCCTAGCCCCTGAGCGGCTCCCTCTGGAGCCAGTGCACTGGGGGCCCGCGAGCTGGTGCTCGCGGGCCCACGGCAGGTCGCGGGTGCGGAACGGCTCCCTTCCCCAAGCCTGGGAACTCTGGCAGCTAGCTTTGCCCTTCCCAGACCTGGGGCCACTTGCCCGGGCCCGTTTCTTTGAGCAGTGAATGCTGAGTGCCTCTGAATTCTGAGTGTCTCCTTGCCTGTGGGAGGAGGACGCCTGCGGAGGCTGAAAGCGCTGGGGAATTGGGCAGTCTGGTAGAGCACCGTTTCCCCCTGGCCAGCGCCTTCTGCCTGGCCTCCGAGCTTGCAGCAGAGAGACATAGTCACTCCCCCTCTGCGACAAGTGCCAGTCCCTGGGGATTTGGCACTGACCAATAGCTGACAGCCCAGTGACTTTCCTCGCCAGACCGGTTCAGGTCACCCCGTACCATTGTATTTCCGCCTCCAGCCAGCTACCAACAGAGAAAGCCCAGCAAGGGACCAAAACAAGCTCCCCAAGTATCCCCTCCCATCAAGAGAGCCGTGGACAACATACTAGCGGCTCCCTCTAGCGGCAGAACAAAACAAAAGTAACAGCGGATCCAGATGGGAAGGACCCAGCGAAAGAATTCTGGAAGTATGAAAAATCAAACGGAAAGCACACCCCCAAAGAGGAACACCTGCTCTCTAGCAATGAACACTAACCAGGCCCAGAATACTAAAATGACAGAAGAAGAATTCCAAGCATGGATTATAAGTAAGCTCAATGATATGCAAGGAAAAATGGATAACCATCACAAGGAAACCACAAAAAAAATCCAGGAATTGGAAGAAAACTTCACTAAAGAAATTGAAATATTAAAGAAAAATCAAACCTAACTCCTGGAAATAAAGGACTCATTCAGGGAACTTTAAAATACTGTGGAAAGCCTCAAGAACAGGGTAGATCAAACAGAAGAAAGAATCTCAGAGATTGAAGACAGCTCCTTCCAAATGAATAAGTCAGTCACAGAGATTGAGCAGAAAATAAATAAAAAAGAAACAAGCTTGCAAGAATTGTGGGATTATGTGAAAAAACCAAACCTGCGTCTGATCGGGGTGCAGGAAAATGAAGAGGAAGCCACGCAAGGGATGGATAACCTATTTGAAGATTTAATAGAGGAGAATTTCCCAGGCCTTGCTAAAAATCTAGATATACAGATACAAGAAGCAGAGCAGACCCCAGGGAGATTCAATGCAAATAGAAAGACACCACGTCACGCAGTAATCAGATTGACCAAGGTAGCCACTAAAGAGGCCCTACTACGAGCTGTCAGGTGAAAGAAACAAGTTACATACAAAGGAAAGCCCATCAGAATTACTTCAGACTTCTCAACTGAAACCTTACAAGCAAGGAGAGCCTGAGGCCCCATTCTCACTCTTCTGAGACAGAATAATGCCCAGCCTAGAGTCTTGTACCCCGCAAAACTAAGTTTTATATATGAAGGAGAAATAAAGGCATTCTCAGATAAACAAAGTCTGTGGGAATTCACCAGGACAAGACCAGCTCTCCAAGAAGTACTCAAAGCTGAACTACACAAGGACCAGCACAATAAACACTCACGAATGTAAAACCACTCAAAAACTAAAGATAAAAGGCTAGAATCCACAATGGCTCAAGAGAGAAAACAAAGCAACAAAAAGCAACTCAACAGTATGACGAACAATTTACCCCATTTATCAGTTCTTTCAATAAATGTGAATGGCTTGAACTCACCTCTCAAGAGACATAGGCTGGCCGAATGGATAAAAAAATACAAGCCAGGTATCTGCTGTCTTCAGGAAATGCATCTAACATGCAAGGATGCATTAAGACTCAAGGTGAAGGGGTGGAAATCAATATTTCAAGCAAATGGAAGCCAAAAGAAGGCTGGTATAGAAGTTTTGATCTCAGACAACTTAGTTTTTAAATCAACAAAAGTAATGAAAGACAAAGAGGGCCACTATATAATGGTGAAGGGCACAGTTCAACAAGAAGACATAACAATTCTAAATATGTATGCACCCAACCTAGGTGCACCCAGATTCATAAAGCAAACTTTACTTAACCTAAATAATTTGATGAATAAGCAACACCATTATAGTCGGGGATTTCAACACCCCACTGACAGCACAGGACAGACCCCCCAAACAGAAAATTAACAAAGAAATTATAGACTTAAACAGAACCCTAGAACAAATGGGCCTGACTGACATTTACAGGACATTCTACCCAAAAACCACAGAATATACGTTCTTCTCAGTAGCTCATGGAACATTCTCTAAGATAGACCATATTCTAGGACACAAAGAATGCCTCAAAAAATTTTAAAAAATAGAAATTATACCATGCATCTTCTCAGATCACAGTGCAATAAAAATAGAAATCAACCCCAGTAGAAACTCTCATCTTTATAAAAAGTCATGGAAATTAAACAACTCCATGCTGAACGACTCCTTCATAAACGATGAAATAAAAATGGAAATCAAAAGATTCTTTGAACTAAATGACAAAGGTGACACAAGTTATCAAAATCTGTGGGACACAGTCAAAGCAGTCCTGAGAGGAAAGTTTATCTCCATAAACGCTTATATCGAAAAGTCAGAAAGATCACAAACAGACAACCTAATGAATTGACTCAAAGAACTGGAAAAAGAAAAACAGACCAACCCCAAACCCAGCAGAAGAAGGGAAATTAGTAAGATCAAATCAGAACTAAATGAAATTGACAACAGGGAAACTATACAGAAGATTAATAAAACAAAAAGTTGGTTCTTTGAAAAAATAAACAAAATTGACACACCTTTGGCTAAACTAAT